ACATGGTAGCTCCTCCCTGAGAAACTTTTGAATCTCTTATGCTCTACAACTCGCTTGGGCAGCAATTTCATGAATCAGCTATGTTCATAGTCCCCATTGAACAAAAATATAAGAAATTTACTCTTTATGAGACTCATAAAATTGAACCCTTTCTCCAAATCTCTTCTAAAATAACTCCACGACCGCGTGAACCCCCTTGCTTTACTTCTCATCATTCAACCAAGCCACCTTAAGGTCATTCCGAAGAAGAGCTCGCAAGAGACTGTTAAAATCCTTGAAGCCTACTCTAGACCAAGCCCAATCCAATTGGCTATGTCCCAACTTTCCCCAAGGTTTACTCCTGAAGAACTCTGTAATATTATTACTTTTCAAGAAGACCACTAGTTTTGTTTGGAGCTCATCACAACAACTCCGGTTACTTATCACATAACCATCCAGAAGCTCGGTGCAGCCCAAATGTACCAAGAAATGGATGATATTGTCAATCAAGTGCTTGCAATTCCATTAAACTGTTCAGAGGCACTTTACAATACTATAATATATCATTTAACTGAAGCTCGAAAAATGACTCGAGCTGTCAATAATTTTAACCACTTGAAAAGTAGCAGAAATTTGAGTTGCAAGCATTCTATCGGAACTTATAATATCCTTTTTGCGGCGCTGTTGAGCAGAGGAATCAACTCTAACATAAATCATGCTTGTATGGATACTAGTAGATGTCTATTTAAAAATGGTCAACGATGGGATAGAGCCTGATATATTTTCTTTGAATTCCAGGATTAAAGGTTATGTGCTTTCTCTCCATGTTAATGATGCGCTGAGGACATTCCATCAGATGGACGTGGTTTATGCTTGCAAGCCTAACTCATTTTCCTACGATTATTTGATAAATGGGTTGTGTTGCGCAAGGAAGAACAAAGAATGCTTAAGAGATATGTAATGAAATAAGACTTCAGGCTTCACCCCAATTAAATCTTATAATTCACTTGTCAATGCTTTGGCACTTGGTGGAGAGACCGAGGAAGCAATGAAATATCTGTGGGAGATGACTGAAAATCAGAGGTCGGTTGATTTTATTACATATAGGACTGTACTGATGAGATATGTAGACAAGGAAGAGTTGAGGGGGCAATGAAGTTATTGCAGGAGTTTCAAGAGAAGGACCTTGTTGATGGGTATGCTTGCAGAAAACTTCTTTATGTGCTGGAAGAGATTATGGTGGAAATTCAGTTAGCAGAGTTGATCCAGGTACTGAGCTGCCTTTCTTGTATCATTATATTCAATTGATTCTGTGTAAAATTACATTTAGTTTCAATGTGCCAAGGGTCATTTCATGATGTCTTTTTGATACCTGAGAATATGTGAATAGCAGATGCACACACTACATATACAGCTGATGCCTTTCTTTTTGTCATTTCATGTAATTGGATGGTTCATTGGCACGCAATATAAACAGCTTTTCTCCTATATGCCTCATATGATCAATCTCTTGTAAAACCCTGGGTTAACAATATTAGCTTACGCACTCTATATTACGAGGTTTTAGGTAGTTTTTTTTTTTTTTTTTGGGGAAAAACGGGTAGGTGATAAAAAGTTGTATGGGGAGAAGCTGCTACTGATAAGTAGTTTTCCATTTTTTTCCCCTAGAGAAGCGACATCGGTGTATTTTAAATTTTTAATCAGCTAAAAGGAAAAACTGAAGGGTGGTATTTGATTGTGCATCAGTAGTTCTGTAGTTTCTTTGACCCCTCTTTGATACCAAAATAGTATTCCATCTTCCATGATACCTCAAATTACTGAAATTAGTGATTACAATATTTTTCAAATATTTCATTCCCAAACAATTGCTAGCAATAACAAGGTTTAGGAGTGAGTACGTGCCGATTGGACTTGATTTGACTTTTGTGTCTCATTCATTTAGGAGTTTCCACAACAGCACTTCTGCTCATGGCAGGACCCGATAAAAAGGAAGGATTTATCACTGCCTGATGCATATTCAAAGCAATATTCCCTTGGTTCATCCCATTCCTTGCAATGTTCTTGATCAAGATTGACGGTGTTGAAACCAATTCTCAGAAGAGTAAGACGGCTCTCGTATCGCATATTGGACTACATCAGATCAGATGGGTTATGGTACTCCAGATTTCATCATTTGAGAGCCCATACTCCCTTTCACAAAAGTTGCAGTTTTATTCATGTCATGTCAAGATTGAATTTTTCTTTGGTATGAGCTTCTCAGGTGGAAGCATAAATTTGGAAGAACGGTGACCCACGGAAAACACAGTTCTCTCTCTCTCTCTCTCTGGTGTCAGAAACAAGGTCTCGTTAATCCCCAGATGCAGAATACGCTGACAGAAGGTTGGCTTAACCTTGGTAATTTCGTCAAAGCTGCTGTATATTTACTTTTGTCCAATTGTATTGAAGGGAAATTTTTTTCACTCAAAACTACATATAGCTAAAAATATATACACACATTTGATTCCTAATATTTTGTTATTTTTCATGTTGAAGTGAAAAATCTTCACTCTCTAAACTATATATAGTCGAAGAAATATATCCATTACATTCCAAATTTAGTACAAGAAAAGTATAAATCTACGAAATACCTTGAAATGAACTAGTTTTTTTTTTTTAAAAAAAAAATTTCTCTCTGCAAGATGATGAATTAATGATTGAATTTGTAGTGCTGGATGTCATCCGGGTGAGTTGTTTGGAATGATAGGATGAAATTACCTTTCTCGTTAGCGGCTTGAGACGTCACTTCGTTAGAAAGTTCAAGAGTCGTATTGGTTTAGAACTGAATGATCGCCATAGTCGACAAACGGTAAAATCGATGAAAAACAAGATTAAAGACGGTAGCTTTGGCTAATAATAGCGAATAGTTGCGACTAATAGGACAAATTTGACATCGCATTAAGCCTAGAAATGGACGCAGACGCTGACGTTTACCTTCCAACTCCTGAATAAAATTTGTGGGATAAGCTTTCTGTAAGTTTGGTTAATACCTTAATTGAACAAATTGAAAAAAAAAAAAAACGAAGCAATTGGAATCATACAATTACTTGAAGGACTATGGCCATGAATATATATGATCAAGAATTTGAACTTGGCTGCATAATGAGGTTCAGGCTATAGTAATCATACTCGAAAGTGTATAACATGTACCATATTATATCACATGGAAGAATAATTCTTCAAAAATAATAAAAGAACTAACATTTTTAACAGGTGCCAAATTTAGATCATAACAATTTCAAAGGTAAAAACAGAGCCTAGACACACGACCACAAACAGTGATGATTCTGGTGAAGAAGTTACTATGCAGCTTTAGCAGTGTAAGCCTGAAACAGATCGAGTAGGATGGCATCGTCCAGATCTCCATGCTCGTCATGTTTGATCCCCACAAAGTTTGTGAGGGAACCCATTTCTTGAATTGCATGAAGAGGGTGCGTATTCAGTGATCCGTGCCTTCTCAGTCTTATGATCTCCCTTCTGCGATCGTGATCCGTGATCCTACACCGCCAACAAGGCAAATTATGAGTGGGGAGAGAGAAACAAATAGGATCATAAATTTGGGTGTGCAGAATCAGAGAGAAAGCAAGTACTCTTGCGGAAGAGAAGCGTGGACGGTAAGGGTTATCCCTGAAAGACAGAGAGGGACGCCATAGGAGGCTCGGAGGTTGAATATGGACTGCATTTTTGGGTGCTGCGATAATAATTTTGAGTGTTGATAATCAGTGACAGTGAAAATGAGAGTACGAGAGCGTTTGGGGTGAAGTGTGGACAGTCGTCCTATCTAGATAGGAGGCATTTATGGGTGATGGATGATGGATCAGATCAAACGTAACAAAAGGTGCTGTAAAAGGGCCACCTAGCTGCTTTCATCTTTTTGACAATGAAATGATCCATAGCAAGATAAAGCTATACTATTCTTTTAATAAAAGAAAAATGAAAGCAGGGGTTTCAATGCATCTAATAGATGTTCATGAAACAAACAAAATAAAGCATCTGTGAAACAAATTGCGAAATTGTTTTTCTATCAATAGGCAAGATGAAAGTTAAGAACTTTTAGTTCAAGCAACATCTCCTGGCATTTTGAGGCAAAGAATTTCCAGATCAACCTCTCATATGGGTTAAAGAAAAACAATGTGCGTGTGGTCTTCGATGCGTGTGGGACCACTTCCTTACGAGGGAGGGGTAAGGGTTAAATAGGATAAGATAAAAAAAATAGACATGAAAAATCCAATTTCATTGTTTACCGCAAGTCCCCAACGCTTTTCTTTTTACCAGCCTTGGCTATGAGTACCTTTTAAGCTGTTCTCTTACATGGTCAAGGCGGTTTACTATATATAGAATTTACCTCTCCTCAGTCTATAATAGCCTGATGACATTTCCATAGATAACGTAACAATATAACAGGACCTTTACTGCACATACCATGACCTTTCCAAATGAAAAATAAAATAAAATAACCCATTAAATCTATATAATTGATCACAGGTTGATTTTTAAGTTTATTCTTAAATAATCAATGTGCTTTTTTCTGGCAGGTGACACACAGATAGTAAACATGATTGTTGTTACATGTAGAATGAAATTCTGACAGAGTATAAAAGACAAAGGGATAAAAATAAAACACAAACTTAGGCAGGGATAAAATGCGATGCAAGGCTAAACTGCACGTTTCACAATAGAATCCGGGGAAGAAGCCGACGCAGACGCTGGAGGGTTCTTTCACACCAAAATGTGCGGGCCCCGCCGTATTTTACACGGGAAGCTTCAAAACATTGTGACTTGCTATAAAAATTTTAAATCAAAATTGAGTGTTCAGCATATAAAAATAAATGTATAGGGGTACTTTACTTTTCAAATCCCTCCATTTTCAGAAATGAATGTTAAACATGAAATCGTCAATTTACTTCACTTGATTCATTAAAGTAATTTGCAATTAAACTCGTGTTCAACACGCAGGAAAGCTAGAGTGACTGATTAATTATGAATATACTTGAAGCCGAACAATATCAAAATCTAACTCTTCACAAATTGTATTTTGGTCAATACTTGGAATGAAAAATCAATTTGAAGAAAGAAATACATGCGGTGCGAATATGAAAGATATACTATGAAATTTTTATAGTGTTTTTTATTTTATTTTATTTCTATTATGGTGAAAAAGGGTGGTGCAATGAAAGTTTGAACCGAAACAACTTTTAAATTGGCTCTGCCAAGACGACGATGATAGAGGCAATGGGCCCTTGTTTGTCTTGCCAAAAGGACGAATGAATTTTTAAAAATTAAATTTATTTTATTTTATTTTGAAAGTACCAAACGGTGCGTATACATGTGAATGTGATGTGAAAATTGAGGTTCTCTTCACTTGCGCCACATCAAATAGGTGAGAAGGATTTTTTGATTTGTCAATCCATTTCCATTTCAAGCGAGCTTTTCCAACTCAAGTTTGTTCTTGACGCAAATGGAAGAGCTCTTGGGCCATTCTTAAGTCTAAAATAGTTGCTCCAATTGTTGTTGTACATGGATAAAGTAGGATCGGGTCAGGCTTCATCCTAACGATACCTTGCTTGATATAGTAGTTCAGGCATCGTGCTACTCAAAAGTTCAGTTTAAGTCTAACCAAATTCAAAACTATTTTTAAATATATGAATTTTTTTAATAAACTATAATTAAAATTATTTAAAATGTATTTTTTATAAAACTAATTCTAGAATTAAAATTTTTAAAATTTTTATGCTTAACAATTGTCAATAATTTTTACCTAATATAAACCTATCAATTTAGAAAAATCAATATAAATTTTTTTAAAAAAGGTTATAAATATTTAAAGTCATAAAAAATATCCATAATAATCATGAAAACAATATAAATAAAAAAAAAATCAAAGATAAATAATACTACAAAATAATTAATTTTTTCACAAAATTAAAACAAAAGGTAAAATAAAATATGCATATCTTCGAGTTAGTGGGGCAAATGTCAACTCCCATGCCTGGCCTGACCACTCGGACTAGTTTAAGTAGAATTGGGCTAATTGAAGTATTTGGCTACACGAAAAGCCTCGGCCTCAATAGTTAGTAATGAATCTAGACATCCTTATGCCCCCCTCAAAAAATAATTAAAACCATTGAGAATGTTGAGGGAGGGCTAGTTCTCACATTTTTTACAAACAAAACTTAAAAAAATTACAAAAGAGTAATGAAATTGGGGGTTACACCTGCATTCGTCACTACCAACAGTAATTCCTCATCATCTAGATCAAAGTGCGCCTGGAACTTTACCAAAAATAAAAACGGATGCCATGCGACTTTATTTTATTCTTTGGTTATAAATTAAAAAATATATACCTACAAATCTTCATAATTTGCTTCAAATTTTAATCAGGCCCTTGTAGTTTTATTTGTTGGAATTGGACCCTTACATTTTTTAAGGTTAAGCCCATTAATTCTTCCATCATTAACTCTATTTAAAATCCATCAGCACCGTCAAATCATGACATGATGGAGGACGACCTGGATAGACATCAGGGCCAGGTAATATTATTTTTCTCACATTCATTTTCCTCAATGGTGCGTGCGACTGCTACTGTCCGATCGACACGATCAAGCTAGCAGCATGTGCTGATGTTCTGGGCCTTTTAAACATCTCCTCTTACTAGCAAGTGTTGCCCATTGACGGAAGGTCTGGTAGATTTGGAGGCTACACTCTACCCCTATACCATCATTAAGGCCAACATCCTTGGCATCAACCGGAACATGCCCTTCAACCTTAGCTGGATCCTTAGCTGTTGTAAAAAATTTTGTTCCTCCTAGTTTCCAATGTCCTTAGAAGAGGGACGTTGAGATCATTAGATCAATCCATCTTGATCTTCCACATGCTTACTTGTCTCCTTCTTTGATCCATACTACAGCTAGCAATCTATAATCAGTTTATTCATTAAGAGCCAAGTATTGTGCCACTAAGCTAATGAGTTACTAATCGATTGGAAGGAGGATTCAAAGTACTCACTTATTTGATTTGCTTGCTTGATGCCTTCTCAGCTCCAATCGCACGAAGCTGCTTTCCCTTCTCAACTTACAAAGTTGTTTTCTTCCTCAGTCGCCAGCCTGATCATTCTGTCGTAGTTGCACACACCGACAAGGAAAATGAATCCTGGAGAATGATATTACCTGGCACCAATTTTAATCCATCTCACCTTCCATGATGTCATGATTTAATAGTGTTAATGGATTTAAACGTAGTTAATGATAGAAGGATTAATGGCCTTAACCTTGAAAAAAATGTAAGGGCTCAATTTCAACAAATAAAATTAGAAGGGTTTGATTAAAAATTGAAGCAAACTATAAGAACAACTAGGGGTGTGTTTGGATTTTAATTAAAAAAAATTGATTATTAGAATGTGATGGTGTTTGGATAAAATTTCAAGAATTGATTATGATATTGATTTTTCAAATGAAATAAATTTCAGCTTATTCCAAATGGAGTTTTAAAAACCAAGTGGAGTTTGAGAAAATTGGGATGTTTGGATAAAATTTTTCAAAATCATGATTTTAAACCTAGAATTGATTTTAAAAGGATATCCAAACAGGCCCTAGGTCTTTGTGTTATAATTTTTTTAATAATCGAGATATATGATCAAACATTAAATCTAGACACATCTATTAGCCTCTTTTACTAAATTTAATTTTAGTTGGTCAATCATAACTTTTGTTGCCACTTCATGAAAATTTGACCTTTACTTTCTACTCGCTTACCTTTTATCAGATCCCATTATTATTGGATATATAGGATTTGTGTCAACATCAAAATCAGTTAACCCTAATAAGTGCCTATTTGTTTTGCGTCCAGAATCGATTTTTTGGTGTTTAACCGATTTTTAAAGCAAAATTAGACAAAGCATATAATTGCCACAATCGATTAAACATCCTAAAATCAATTTTTTCAAAGCTATTCATGCCTACTTCTGGTTCTCATTTTACCATATTAAGGGTCCGTCTAGATTTCAGTTGGATATAACAGATTATGAAAATAATTGATTAAGTGGTAGATTTTAATCATAATTGATTATGTTATAACGTAATTTGTTTGGATATTGTTTTTTTAAAATTGATTTTAACTTAATATATGTTAGCAAATTTTTTAAAGATTTAAAATTTAAATTTTACTAAGAGAAAGAGAGAAGAGAAGGGAGTTTGATTTTTTTTTATAAAATTTTGTGCTTTTTTATAATTTTTTTGGACCTTTTTATGTAATTTCTCCAGTATTTTTTTATCAGCGTTTCTGGAAAAGCTCAAATATTAGCTTTTGAAAAAAATTGATTTTAAGGGTTGAAATCAATTTTTTGCTTTTTCAGGTGTTTGGCTAATAAACTAAATAATCGATTTTTTTGAGAATAAAATCGATTAAAGACGTATCCAAATGGGCACTATTTGTCAATAATTCATAATTGTGTTAAATAAAATTTAACAAATTTAATAATATTATATATAAATTTATCAATAATTTAATTTTGTATGATAATTGATTATTGAGCCAAAATCAAATTTTGAACTAAGCTCTGAAAGGTTGCTTATGGATTTAATTTTACCATTAAATAATATATTTTACTTTTTAAATAAAGTTTAACAAATTTATTAATATTAAATACAACTTTATTAATAATTTAATTTTAAAAAGAAATGTCTTTTACAGTAATTTGTATAGTTGAGATCAATTTTAATATCCAAACATATTGTGTCATAATATTATCAATTAAAATTAATTATATTAATTAATTATTTTTATGATCAATTATATTCAATTAAAATTCAACCGGGCACTAATAGCATTGCATGTTATGCATGAAATAATTTCACTCTCTCTTTTATATCTTTTGTAAATATTCTTTAAATTACAGATGCAATCACTGCAAATTTAAACACAAATGGGGAAAATGTTAATGAAAATAATCAAATACTTTTCTACAAAATTATAAAATCTAGGTGGATACATTGTAAAAATAAAAATAGATTCATAATTAAGTAACACTTCGAAAATGAGTCAATAAAAAGATATGCATTCGTGATCCATTGTACTTCTAGAAGACGCATGGCGGATTGTAAGCAGCGGACGGAAGCCATTCAACATTTGCACTGTTGTGGTTGAAAGACCGTACATTTGAAAAAGGCATTCAGGTTAGCCAATGTTTGGGTGAACAGGAATAGAAGGGAGGGGATGAATTCGATTTGAAAAAAAAAAGAAAGATAAATAAAATTATAAATTATAAAATTTCAGTAAAAAAAAGATTTTAAATTCAAAGAGTAAGGAAAATTAAACAAATAGTAACTCCACTTTTCAATTTTAAAACTTATTAGAATCTTTTCTTCATTTCCTTTTAACAAATAGACATTTAGAAGATCTTCATTCGGTACTCATTAAGTTGATGAGCATCGAGAGCTCATCATTAGATAATTAACCCTAATCCTTCATTTTAGAATGAAATAATCCTTGCATTTTATGTTAAATTGATTTTTTGATATTTTTAATATTGTCTATATTAAAATAAAAATTGCAGTCCAAAGTATATTTATCATCAAGGGAATAAAATACCCTAATTCTCATTAACATATAAGATCTCGACTATCCATATTTTATTTTTTTTATTTATCAAAATAAGAATTTGAATGTGGAAAAACAAGAATTTATAAAAATTATCAATTTTTTAATAAATTTGTCAATCACCAATCAAGACAATACATATTTAATCTAAATAATATAATTTAATATTAAATTTTTGTATAGCTTTAATAAATTGATTATTCAGATATATTTTGAATAATATAAATTTAGTATAGAAGGTCAAATTTAATATTAAAAATTTCTCAAATTTTACTCTAGACAACCTACATGTACTTGAAACAATCTATATGTAATATATAATACAATTAGGCGTACAAATCATAATGTGGACTCTTTCTTCTTCTTAAACTTAGGTTTGCTGGATTGTAGAAGCTTGGGCTTGGGCTTACTCTTTTCTTTATCATTCCCCTTAAATGAAAGTAGCAAAGCAAAGCTCGAGTTTGTCTTTGAGGTAAATAAAATGAGAAGAGGGCAAGTGTTTGGTAAGAAGATCTGCAACTTGATTAGCAAAAAACACATGCTTAATAGTGACTTTGTTGTTGAGAACTATATCACGAATAAAACGAGTGTCAATTTTAATATGTTTAGTTCAAACATGAAAAATAAGATTTGAAGCAAGAGCTGCAATGCTAACATTATCATCCATATTGTGAAAGGTCTTTTCTATGTTAATCCAAGTTCCAAAAGTAGTAATCTTAACCATAGCAACTTTGCAATAGTGTGAGCTAAGGCTTGATATTCAGACTTAGCACTTGATCTAGCAATAATTGTTTGCTTTTTAAATGACCAAGAAATTAAGGAATCTCCAAAATATACAAGATACCCTCCAACAGATCTTCTTTCATCTGGACAATTAGCCCAATTAGCATTTGAATATGCTACAAAGTCAAGAAAATCTGATCTTTTAATTTGTAGACATAGATGAATGGTACCTTACAAATATTATAAGAGTCTTTTAATAGTTTGCCATTGCAACACAGTTGGACCATAAAGAAATTGACTTGATTTACTAACAAAGGCAATATCAAGCATGTATTAGCAAGATACTAAAGAGATCTAACAATCTTACGATAAGTAATACTATCAGATTCTACAAGTGGATTATTGTCAAAACATGACAAAATATATCCAGAGGAAATTGGATCTTTACAAGAAAAAGTGCTCATATTTCACTTTTCCAACAAATCAAAAATATACTTTCCTTGATTCAAATAAAACCCATTAACATCTTGATTAATTTCTATTTCAAGGAAATAATGGATAGGACCTAAATCCTTCAAAGCAAATACTTCATCCAATTTGAGAATAAATTGATGCATACTCTTTATATTACTTCTTGTGACTAAAATGTCATCAACATAAATGAATATCACCAAGAGTTTATCATTATTTTGAAAAATGGAAGAGAGAAGTGTCATTTTTACTATTATGACATTTCTAAGCAACTAAGACTGATCTCAATCATTCAAACCAAGCACGTGGTTTGTTTTAACTTATAGAGAGCTTTTCTCAATTTACATGCATGATAGGGCTTTATAGAATTAATAAAGCCCTCAGGCTATGCCATATATACTGTCACACAATAGTAGAGCCAAGACTCGAATTTAGGGTTGCAACATAATATAATTTAAAAATTAATAATTTTTTTAAAATAATATAATTACATCAGGAATAAAATTGTAATAATATATGTAGCTTAATCATCATTTTTTTAGAAATATATATTTAATAGGTTGATAAGGTCATTTATGTAAGATATATCTTTCATATCTTATATTTATCATTAAAATATTACATAACTAATAAGCTTTTAAGACAAGATATTTTTATTTAGTCCAAACGGTGCAAAATCTCAAGAATAAGGGGTGCAGAATAGCAAAATTTACATGTATAACTTGTAAATTTTCCCAAAGAGAGGGGATGTATTTGCTCACCCTCACTAATGAGTAGCTTTGCCATTGCCATCTCAGCAAGATACCATTTAAACGCAGTAGTAATGTCAAGTTGTTTTACTTTCCAATTTCAAGATGCATCTAAAATTAAAATTGTAAGGTTGCCCTTACTGTTGCACATTTAACTCTAAAATCCAGATAATTATGGAGCTAATATAAGAGGATTGCCACGTTTATTAAATCACATAAATGATAGCCCCAGTTTTCAACTATTTTGAAAAATATATTATACGTTCATAACTTAAAAATCAGAATAAAATATATTTACAAAAGTATGGGATATTAAATTGTATTAAAGCATTTGCATCTAAACTGAAAAATGACAATTCAATGTAAAGACACAGATGTACACCATGGCATTCCTCCCATGCATTGCAGCACAATCTTCTTTGTGCCATGTGCCATGATACATTGCACAATTTTGATAGCATTATTGCTGTCATTTGATACCAATAAGGGTAAACTTCTAATGCACCTCATTTCTTCATCCGGTATCTAATTGAGGTGCTCTGAGTGTTAATGGAAAGCTCTTTTAGAGAGCTAACTACTAGCACTAGTCTCACTTATAAATCATTTCTCATTAAAAAATTTAGACACTTATTTACAAACTCACTCTTTTTAACTTTTAAATTACAACTATGATGTCCAAAATCAAGTGCTAAAAGCTCACAATTACCTTTGGATCATACTCAGTAAACTTAAGAATACTTGTGCAATACACCACAATGACACACTATCACATACATTATATTTTCAACTCTTAACCCCTTGATCTAAAAAATTTAAGGGGAAGACAATTTCTCATAAATCAACATAAAAACCATCACATCCATGCATTTAGACATTCCCTTACTTGTACTAGTATTTCAGCCCTATATTAACTTGGTAACATGTTATATACCACAGGGCCTAAAATACACACTTAAGTCAAATTAAGTAATAGTACAAGGAGGCCAAAATAGTATGATTCTCTAGTTAGCAATTATCAAATCAAAATACACATTATGAATCAAATAGAGGCCTATAGATTGGGAACCAATGTTCTAAGCCTTAGGCACTTTTCCACTTTTTTGGCTCGAGGTAGTTCCTGTAAATATTGAAGAGATAGGGTGAGTACAACCATTTAGTAACCAAAATTAATCTAACCTATATAAATGCTTGTCAATCAATCATAATGATCAAATGGCATCTACACAATTTTAACAAGTTTTTGCATTTTCTTTTAAAATGTTTACCATAACCACCATATTCACAACCATGTAGCCGAGCACAATTATACATCCAAACTCATATTAATAATAATTATCAATTCATAGAAGGGAATACAATACTAACAATCAGGTGCCTCTATCAAGTTATACTAAACCATAATAATAATAATTATATAGCAGTATAATGATATGTATGATCAATGCTATCTTTATATCTTACTAGTACCTCCGACATGAAACCATTACCTATTTAGTGAGATTTGTCCAGTTAATCGGACTATCCAAGCCCTTCACTTGTGAGGAGCTACTTTTCAAGGTTACTACATTTAGTTATGAGTCACGGTTTCTTCCAATACCAATAACCATGGGGTGTCATATCCTTAAGCTTGCCTTCTTGTAAACAAAAAAATAGTAGTTAGGTTTGAGTCCCTTAATGAACAAGTGGGATGATTCCTTGAAGAACAAATGGGACAAAAATAAAAAGGCAAGCCATCGAGCTCTAAATAGCAACCATATCATGTGGATTTAGAAATATACTCCTCTCATTAGGTGAATTCCTACCTTAATAATCATGCAATACACATATGCTCAATTTATACTATGCATATACTTATACCTAGCATTATTCCCTTTTCACAATCTCAACATTTTCTTTTCAATTTCATTCGCATCACAACATCATCACATCACATTTGTCATGCATGTTCTCATGTTTATGTTCAAACAAGTCATTTATCAACATTTCACATATAAGATCATATTACCAAGATTTAACTCCATGATTTTTTGCCACATTTGCATTTAGTACATGTTCAAAGAATACTCATATTTTCCAAAATAAATTATAATCATTTATAACTAATTAACAAATAAATGCACAAACTAAATTTTTTTCAATTACCTCAAATATTTGAGAGGTCAAAGATTTTTTTCCTCAGAAAAATTACTTCCAAAGCTCTCGTCAAGTTTGAATGGTGGTAAAAATGGTTAATCTATAATTTAATCTTTTCAACAATCATTAATGTCATCCATAGGACAATCTTAACTCTCTAGCTCAACACTTTCAACTCCTAAAATCACAATCTCTTACTTTTAAACATACCCATTAAGTTTACTAACTTCCTTTAATTCTCAATGACTTCAATGTATCACCCAACTATCATTAATAACTTTTATACACTCCCAAAAATCTCATTAATGATCCATCTTTTACCATTAATGACCTCCACCAACCAAACATTTATAAAATTATCAATACTAAGTTTATATAACCTAAAAAGCTTCCATTAATTTTATTTAAGTTAATGAGTTCAAAGTCATGGCTTTTATGGATAAAAAATCATCCTATTTCAGCAAATCCTAACTCATACTCTTAAGAAAACTAGAAGATAATGGAAGTAGAAGGCTTAAGAAACTTATTTTTAGTGTTTATAAGCTTCAAATTACTCTTAAATCTTCAAATCCTTTGTGCCTTAGCAGAGCTTTCAAGTTCTTTTTATGTTCTCTCTATTTTCTTTCTAATTTTTGAATTGATTCTCGCTCTTTTTACTGTCAAAATTCAACCATGCGCCACAACACACATGTGACATATGGCATAAAGACACTTTCTTTTTTTTTCTCCCTTCTTGAGATTCGAGTTTCCCAACTCCGCTTTGAACCTAATCCTCGAATTGAAATCACAACCCAAAATATTTATTAGCTCTTTGTAACCACACACAATATTAATTTACTTAAGCAACCTCATTTAACTCAATTAATCAAGGGTTAATTTTCTAGGATGATACAAAAATAACAAGAATTGTTGAAGGCTTGATGATAGGATGGAATACCATATTAATACTTGGAACTTGTAGATATCCTTTAGCAACAAGTCAAGCTTATGCGTTTCGACTATATTATTTGGATTAAGTTTAGTCTTGAAAACCCAACAACATCCAACTATATTTTGAGAAGGATGAGCAGGAACAAGATCTCAAGCATGATTTCAAACCAAAGCATTATACTCAACTGCTATGGTTGCTCGCTAGTGATTTAAATGAAAAGCTTGTGAAACACTCAATGATTTTGTGCATAGACACTGTAGATTGGCCGCAACAAAGCTAACAAAGGGCTTTTTAGGTTTGCTATGTTTGGATTAGGTCATCATTAAGTGTGTATTAGTAGGCCCAACTAATTCAACAGTAGTAGATGATGGTACAATATTAGTGTGCTTTAAAGACTGAGAAGTAAGAGAACCAAGTGCCTAAGTGGATCCAATAGATGACATTGGGTTGTCCGTGATTGGGCTCATTACTTCTACATAAGAGACTAAGGAAGGATTAGGTAATTGATTGGGCCGATTATCATTATAGTTGTTAAGACTATCTGTGGATGACGTCATATGGCTAAGTGAGGAGTCATCACCATCTGGAAACAAAATGGACGTCGAATTTGGATTGAGATGTTTTGCTTCCATATTTGCAGAATATAGTATATTAAAGGATGACCTAGAGACTTGTGGGGATGATGCACTATTGTTAGACTTTCAAGAAGATGAAGATCCTGTGAAATAAAAATGATTTTTATTAAATACTACATGGTGATTAATATAGATCCTTCCAGATAGACTGAGACACTTGTACCTTTTATGTAAGGGACTTAGCTTTAAATAAGTGCATTGTTCACTTCTGGATTTAAGTTTATGCTTGTTATATGGATGAAGACATGGAAAGTAGGCACATCTAAAAATTTTAAAGCTACCATAATTTGGCCTTGAACTAAACAAAACCTCAAATGATAACTGGTCCCTTAAAACTAGAGTGGGCAAACGATTAATTAGATAAATTGCATTTATAAAAGCTTCCTACCAATAATATAATGGCATTGATGCTTAGGCTAGAATGTTTAATCCAACCTTAACAAAGTCTCTATGTTTATGTTCAACTTGTCCAATTTACTTTAACGTATATAGACATAAGTGATGAAAAAGGATTCCTGACTCAAATAAAACTTTTGAAAAGCTTCTAAACTCACCCTTATCACTTTAGAGAGTCTTAATTTTCTTATCAAATTGACTTTCTACTAGCTTTTTAAATTTCACAAAAGCTAAAAGTGCCTCTCCTTTAGAGTAAAGAGGGGAAAGCCATGTAAATCTACTATAATCATTAACAAAACTCACATAATATTTAAATCTAAATTTTGAATTAACAGGTGTAGGGCCCCATTTGTTTGTAAAGATAAGATCCAATGGTGCTTTAGATCAAAAATGAAACAAAGAAAATGGTAACTTATGCATTTCACCATACTGACATGCATCACAAAATTCAATATTGTCATTATCTTTCAAATGAATATTATAGCTTTTCAGTATATTCTGGACAATAGCAAAAGAGGCATGACCCAAACTTCTATGCCAAGTGTTCAAAGAAATACTTAAAGCAATAACTTCACAACGCTTTTCTTTAAACAACACTTTGCCTGTTTTCAAGTTAGTTAGAGTAAAATTATATTAACTCATTATCCAAAACGAGCTTAAAAACACTTGCCAAATTTTTCTGAATGGCAGGAACAACCAGAATATCCTTTAACAATAATATTTTAGTATCACATTGAAAATGTACTAATAGCATGACCTTTGATGTTTAAACCATCACCATTACCAATAGTAAGAGTACATGAAGATTTAGTACCTAAGGTGCCTGAAATATTACTAGCTTGATTGGTTACAGAGTTTGAGGCTCCACTATCCATGTACCATGCTGGATCCTACACCGTATCAGACATAGTAAGAAAGGTAAGAATGAGAGTTTCGAGTATTGTTATCTTGAGAAGAGATAAAGTTCTTATCAAGATGATGATGACAATCAACACTAATATGCCTAAACTTTTTGCATAACTAACACTGAGCTTTGTTATTATCGTTGTTTCAGGTGTTGCGATTATGCCCACAATTGCCTTTGCCACATCCATTACCACGCCAGGGTGGTTGAGAACTTCTTGAATAACCCTTACCAGAACTAACAGAAGAGGGATCACCTTTAAAACTTGATGCAACAAAGGAGTTACTTACATTATTAACACTGTAGAGGTGTTCAAGATATTGCTCAAAAGTGAGAAGGGAAGATTGGAGGCCTATCCAAGACAGACCCTCTTTATCTGCAAGATGCACCACTATAAAAGTATAATCTCCATTAAGTTTAGTTAAGGTTTGCACGATAAGATCTAAGAGAGGAATCAAACACCCTGCAAGAGCCATATTATCTAACAGGACCGTCATTTTGCTAAGGTAAAACTCCATTAAAATAGCATTTACAAGTTCCTTAAAACTTATTTTTCATGCAAGTAAGTTTGGCCTTAGTGTTGGCACAAGTTAAAACTGTGATAACTCATCATATCTAAGAGGCTAAGTGACAGTGTAATACTTGAGAAGTAATATTTGAGGAAAGGGAACCAAGTAACTAGCCATATATAAGTCAATTAATAGAGTACCAATCTTTAAACTCAGGATGCACCACAACATTAGCACCATCTAGAATAAACTTTGGTAAAAAGGCTTTATCTCGATAACAAAACCTTCAAGTTGATGACCTCTTAACACCAACAAGACAAAGTTATACCGAAGCATATAGTTGGATTTGTCCAACTTGATAGGTCTGACCTAATTCAGGCTATTAAGTATTGGAATGGCCTTAGTCTGTACGACAGTAGTAGCGCCAATATTGGGTATAGTGTTCAAGGAAAAAGGTGAGACAGTAGCAACAAAGGTATGGGAAGATGGAGTTGTGGTGGATGACAAAAACAAAGGCAATGGTGGTGTAAAGCAATGGAGATGTGTTAAAGGTGAAGAAAGGGAAGTTGGAGGTAGAAAGGATTGGGAAAATTGCCATGAAGTTGTATGCTTTAATACCAAGACAGAGTTCTCAGAGTATACACGTTCACTCTTGCAATGTATAAGGTAATGATTTCATAATGATTTATATAAAGGTTGTTACAACAAACTAGGGCCATGTCATCGTATAGCCTAAAAATAAAGAATAATGAATAAAAAAAAGGGAAAACATAACTTTTAATTTATGTACTTTACTCGTGGTTTGATATAGATCCTTGTACTTTTTTTCTAGTGTTTTAGGTTTCTATGCTTTTATTTTTTAATGTTCTAGGTCCCTAAATGAACAAAATGTAGAGACCTTTGAGGGACTTACAATACCAAAAAAATAAAATTATAGGGACTTAAAACACCGAAAAAAATGTAGAGATGTATAACAAAACACAAGCAAAATATAGGAATTAAAAGTTATGTTTTCTCAAAAAAAAAAAACGAAAAGCAATTAGCAATCTAAAATACAATCGGGCCTATACAAATCATAGTGTGGACTCTTTCTTCCTAAGCTTGCTGGACTGTAGAAGCTTGGACTTACTCTTTTCTTTATCGCAAACAAATCATATAAAGCCAAACACAACCCGTGAGGAAAAAGCTGAGGACAAATATTTTGACTGTGCTTCCAAATAATGAGGGGGACAAAGAGAAATAATAGAGTGAAGTGTTCAATGTAAGTGGACATGATCTCCCTGCCTTTGTCTATATCATTACGATAACTTTCCCCATTCCATGGAAATAATCATGATTATAGGGAAAAATGTATGAAAGAATTACAACTAGGTTTTATATAAAAAAAATTTAATTACTGCAAGGTTCATAAAAAAAATTAATTATAAATTAATTACTGTAAAGTTCATGTAATATGAATCTTGTAGTAATTAATTTTTTTACAGAGGGCTTTAATGTAATTGTCCCAAAATGCGTTATGAACTAAACCATGCAGAGAACACAGTAAAAGCGACCAAAAAAGGCAGAGCAGCCTTATGGGAACAAGCTGACATAAGAGACGTGACGTCATCGCAGATGAACATGACCACATAGGAATAACGACAAAGGTGATGAAGTGGTGGGTGTCCTATTTGGAGGCGAAGTTATCAACAGCGAGAATAAGATATGGAATTAGTGAATAGAAATGGGACCTATAAATGAAGGGTTTGGGGGATAGGGCGCACACAGAGAGAGAGAGAGAGGTACATACTAGACAGCATCAGCATGAGAGGTTTGCTATGCAGGAGAGATGACGCCGTTGATTCTGACCATTTTAGCATCGTCACCACCATGTTGGTGGCTCTATGCTGATGGCATCCTTTCTCCTGCCTGACAAACCTTCCTCCTGCAGTCGCTCAAGGAATCGATCGCTAGCACACAGGGCCACCTCTTTGCTTTCCACTCTCCCTTTTCTCCTCCTTTCTGTATCCGCATTTTTTTTTGGGCCCAAATGTATCCGCATATTCACTGTCCTACTCCTTTTTGCAGGCACTAGCTAACGTCCAATTGAAGAATATTTCCCATCAAGTTAGTGCGAGCATATCATTTTAAAATCCATCAATTGTCTTATGGCAGTCTTTTGCCCTCATATTCTATACCGATGACCACCGCTGAAATTCTTGTTGCTTGTAATCAATCATGCTGTGCTTTGCATGGTTCTGAAGCGTCTACCTTGATCTTTCTTTACCCCTTCTTGCCTTCACCTTTCTTATGAAACTTTTTGACTTGCCTATCTCCGATGTTCTGAGAGTATGAGGAACCTATCTCTCCCAGGGAATCGGCTCCTGTGTCTAAGACACATGTGGCTCACGAGTCAAGGCATCCACAACCCCACAGCGACAACTGTCCACTTTACTAGGAAACAGGGGTACACTAGAGCAAAGACTTCCCAATTCAGAGAGAGATGAGAACTAACCCAAAAAAGGGTAAATATTCGCATGTAGAAGAGGATGCCTAAACAGAGTCTAGTTCTAGTCGAGGATTGCCTTGCTTCCTTTTCGCAACGCCAAATTCTTGTAACCTTGTCAAATTGATTAGTCATATACAGAATACAAAGGCTCGAAATATGAACATTTCATTGATTTCTCATATGATAGCGACTCCAATTGATTTGTTTCACGACATAACTTAACTCTGCTCGAACAGGAGGGTGGACCACAAACAAGCAGTAATCAAAACAAATCAGACATCTCTTCATTCTACATAATCCAAGACTCAGGAGTCAGGACGACGAGAGTTTTTTATAAATAAAAGTTGGGGATGATAATCTTTGAAATCCAGGTCCTAGGCAAGAAATTCTTGCAAACGCAGCCAATATGCCAAGGGGAAATTAATCAGGCTACTGGGATAAAGCGCCATACCTAATCCATCTCGCAGCTTGACATGGGTGCTAAAAACGACCACCAATTACACCTAAAAAAGGGCCTTTTTATTAAGAATTTCCTGGTATAACATCTAACATGCTGGCACTATCATCTACTGTTACATAAATCTGGATGGAAATCATCATCAACTAGGCAGAAAATAAGGTGGGTGCCATAATATTTTTCAATATGTTAGCCGTTTATATATTTATTTACTTGAAAACATTGATTGCGCAGGTCTCAGTAGAAAATCATAAGCATTCAACGAGAGATGGACAAAAGAAAACGAAATCCTTCAAGAATGATTCAAGGTTAAATCTCAACCTGCCAGCATCTATATCAGATATTGAAACTCTGTGAACGAGATGTTCATCAACTTCGTGAACTCAAAGGATCAAACTAGATGGGGTAGAATACAAACTAATCTTCAAAAATAACTACTGCTTCGTTGAATAAATAATGAGGATTGGAGCAGAGCAGAATGTATCTTCACTTATCTCGGCTTGAAACCTGAGATAATCAATAATGTGAGACTTGCGGCACATGTGGTGAAGAATAGCAGTAGCATCCTGGGTTATGGCAGTAGGAAATGCAATTCTTAATTGCCACTCCACATAAAACCGAAGTTGACTTCTTCTTCTTCTTCTTATTTTTTTATTTTTTTTAATACAAAACGAAGCCCAAAACCTGCTTATCGTACACTAACAGTAGTTGAGGTAAAGTCCAAGGCTAACACACGAGCAAGATCCTCTGGCACCTGAGTCACATAAACCGAAGTTGACTTCTGATATGAATATATATTCATAAATCATGACTAAGAAGTAAAACAAAAGAAAAATGGCTGACCAAAAGTGACCTACATAACCAAATCCCTTGAGATTTAAGTTTACCTTCATGTAGTGCAATTAGAAAGACTCAGGAGACGAGAGAGAAAAACCAGCAGCGGGGTGAGATTCAGGGTATACCTAGAAAACTATTACAATTCTTTATCAATGTCAAGTTGTGCTCTCGCTGCAGCCCTTTCAGCTTCTTCCAAAACAAAGGTTTTTAATGATTCAACGTCCCTTGGACCTGAGCATTACATGACATGCAAAAATTAATTTAAAATGCGAGGGGAGGAGGGCGGGAGGGAATAGCCAATATGGATATCCAACAATCAAATCAAAATAAAACTCAAGAAAGCATAGGCCAAATATGACAATGAAATACATATATTTTCAGGTTGATGATTTAATACAAATTATTAACACACTATTCAAGTCAACGACTGGTTGATGCTAAACTACATGTGACTTGATTAATTTTCAAACTCAGTAACAAAATTTTACTGGGAATAAGTTGAGTTTCAATATTATTCATGATCCTTAGTAATAGACCAACTCTAAAATGGAAAATTCTAACGTGACGATATATCTTTGGCTACAATCAAATTTATCCGATCATCGTCTTCTTAACCACAAGTTTGGAGCATATGGATCAAATTGACAAACACTAAAAGTGAGAATCAAGTGGAATCTATGAAACACATCTTTAGCACAATGGAAAGATTTTACTTACCACGGTATCTGGCAACTTCTTCTCCATTATAAAAAAGCTTAAAAGTGGGATATGAATGAATATCAACTTTGCCACATACTGGTTTGTTTATGCTGCAATCTACTTCTCCAATCTCTATTTCATCTTCTCCTTCCATCGCTTTTCCCAACTCATCCCACAACGATCCGAGATTCTTACTGACAATAAGTGTTTATTACAGGAGAGCAAGCAGTTGAAAATCCAGTCAAGTTTATCGCAAGGTAGAAGAAAGAAATTTACCAGTGCTTGCACCAGGGAACGCAGAATTTCACAAACCACGCAGTGTGTTGCTCCTTGATCTAAACGAAACAGTCAAACGCAAAACAAAGGTGATTGGAAAATGCAACCGTAACACTAACAGGTGACGTGCAATTCAATAACAGTTTCATGAATACCCTCAAGCGCACACACCCGTGTTCTACAATTTTTCCCAACCCAATCTGCACTTGCAGAGGCAATCATCAACCGGCGGCAACTGTCTGGGTTTCCCTCATAAGTCCATTTAAACTACATTTGGATGTGCTTTTGTCAAATCCAACAAATGGTTGGATCTCCCAAGTGGAGGATTTATACTGAAAACCAAACATGCACTAAAACATTGTTTCCAATAATTTAGGGTAAAAAAAATGTTCCTATGTGATTGCCACAGATAAATGAATTGCACAGGTCCGTAAATGTCTATCGATTATAAACGATATATAACAATTATAGTGGAATTAAGCAGAATTTCTTTCCAAAAAAAAAAAAACAAAGAAGATTTTTCATTCAATCAAGTTTGAGGGTAACGGGCGAGAAAGACTGAGCGACGGTTCTGCTTCGAGAGTATATACCTTATCAGAGAATGTGTCGGCCGTTAACGGGATAACCTCGGGTTGAGCATGAAAACTAGATTGACGAGAAGGAGGAGGAGAAGAAAGGAAGAACCGTGATTTCTCATGCCTGATCTGCGGTGCCTGGTGGTGCCGACTGCCGAGATCTCTCACCCTGAAAAGCACCGAGGGCTAGTTCGGAGAGTCTTGTCAAAGACACGTGGGTTGCACGTGTTAAATTGTTGACGCAACCAAGCAAAGCTAGCTCCTAAATATTTTCAAAAAATAATAATAAAATATTTTTAAAATATTTAAATAATAATTTAATCTTCCAATCATATTTTTTAAAAAAATTTTAAATTTTTTATTAATAATAAATTTATATAAATTATTAAATTATTTTTACTAAAAATAAATAATTCACAAATTTTATTTAAATATTTATAATTTTTTTTATATTCATAATAATATAATAGTAAATTAAAAATTTATATATTAATTTTTTATTTATTATTAAATTATTCTGAATATAAAAAAATTTATGATTATTTAAATAAAACTTGTAAATTATTTATTTTTAACAAGAACACTTTAATAATTTATATAAATTTATCAATGATAGAAAATTTTTTAAAAATTTTTAAAAAATTATTATATTTTGAAAGGTCGAATTAATATTTATATATTTTAAAAATTTTTTATTATTATTATTTTTTAAGATCTCATGTACATACATACATAAATATATGTATTTAACGCTCCCTCAAGCAGCTCGATGACATTGGGGAGAGTATCCTACTGATAAGGTTCACCTGTTCTCATTTTTATTTAGGATTCAGATTTACAGAGACACAAATAACGACGAATGTGGTTGGAGCATCACATGTTTAATCATCTTCGGCACAATTTTTCTGCTACGCTCCAACTTGAAGGAATGTAAAGGACTGGACAATAGGATCATTGAACTATATAGCAATTAGAAAGAATTATTTTCTTGATCAATGAGAAAATGACCTGAATGTTTTTTTTTTTTTTACTAAAAAATGGTTTCAAGACATCTGCAATCACGAAGATACGAGGGGTTGGCATTACAGCAAAAAAGACTAATCTCTCACGGTATAATAAATCAAAATTTGAATTAAGATATGAATATTATTTATGGTGATATTGTAGTCTTTTTTCCTTTTCCCCAATTTTATTGTTGGGTTCATATTTCATATACAAGAATGATTCAGGCATTACCATTTGTCAAGCATCTTGCTGAGTTCTCTCTGTTTTCCGGAAGAAGTGCCCCAACTTTTCATTTGCCTGAAATATTACACAAATTTGTTTAGGACAAAAGTTTTGGTGATACTGTCATGCAAACAGTACATGCCTTCATTTTTTATAATGGTATGATTGCCAACAAAGCAAGTAACATCCAACCCTCGAATCATGCTAAAGTTAAAGCAAAATGATACCCATCAAATATTGATAGCTTGATAAACAACAACAACTTTGCAACCTAAGGAGGGCTCATTCATGATGATCAAGAAAATTAAACTAAGAGATTATCTAAATATTTTGGTTACCATTTTAGTACTGTAATAAATTTATAGGTATTTATGAAGGATTTAATCTTTGTTGGAATAAAAATTTCATTAAAATTAATGTTCGCCTTGATTCAATTGAAACTCTCATGCTCATTTAATGTGATTACAATCAGAATTACCCTCTCTCTAGTATTATAAATAGAATCAAATATTTAGTTATGACAAACGAAATTGTTACTTCTGAGCATGTTTTTAAATAAACAAATAAATGTTTTAATTGGCTTGTTCGTCATATATCTTATGACAATTCAGATGCTATATTTTTTGTAAATCTACCCATAAAGTGAAGAAGTATTATTTGCTTTGACATGAACTAAATATTTCTTTGCACAATTTTTTTTTTCATGATCTTGTATTAAAAAAAAACTTTTAACAATGGCAAAAATAAATTAAATTAGAAAGAGAACATTTATGTTAATAATTTTTTTAAAAAAAGTTGTCATGGAAAAAAGTCAAAATAATACGTTACCTTTATTACAAATTATAAGACCTATAGAAAGAAATTCAACGTTTAAAATATAAACATTTTAACAAAAATAAAGTTTAATTAATAATATTTTTTTCAATATAGTTTCTGTCATATTCTCTCACTTTGATATTTTTTTAAGTATTACCTTTGAACATTTTTTAAAAAATATATATATATTTTTAAAAAATAATTTTAGGTCCTTATACTTTGTTCAACTTTTGTTATAGGTTTTTATATTTTTTTTAGTATTTTATGTTCTTATAATACTGTTCATTTAATAATTATAGGAACTTAGAATATTGAAAAAAATATAGAGATTTATAACAAAACTCAAATAAAGAATAAGGACCCAAAGTTATGTTTCATCTTAAAAAAAAAATTATAAAATGTATTTGATAAGTTTTATATTATATATATATATATATAATTTTAGTTAAAAATATTTTATAAAAATCATAAAATGTATTTGATAAATTTTATTAATATATATAATTTTAGTTAAAAATATTTTATAATTTAAAATGGAGAAATATTAGGCTTACCAACAAAGTGAGAGGGAGGATGGAGGAAGTTATAAATTCTCCTTCCATGCAAGAACTTGATTCAATTTCAGTGTTCAAAATATTAAAAACTTATCACTTTTAGATCATTTAAATTTAATCTGAATGGTTCATATTCAGATCTTTTCAATTGGTGTTTCTTAAATAATTTTTTTTGGCAAAACTAACGTTATCTTTATTTTAAATTTTATATCTATTAAAATACTTTTTTTAAAAAAATCAAAGTAAAAACTGTAAATCTAATTTTGAACGGTCCAAAGGCCGCATGATAAACACTGAAACTGGTTGTTAATAACTAGGAGAGAGATAACTACTACATTTAGTTTTGAGGAGAACCATGACGAGGAAGCCACGTCAATGAACAGAGATGAAAATTTTATTGACGGCGAAGGAAAATTCGTAAACAGAAACTGAACAAAGAAAGGAAATCCCAAACATAAAAATAAAACGGACAACGCGACTTAGCTTCCGGCGAGCAAAATAATTTATTCTCACTAATCCCACTCTGTTTTTCCTAATTATCATAATCTAATCAGAGCTCAAAGTCATATCATTCGTAAAACTATAAATAAACTCAACGCAGCATCTGTCTCTCCCTCCCTGGTTCTTCCCTTCGATCCTCTTCTTCCCCGCGTCTTACGTCTACGTCTCCAGGTGACGCCCCTTCAGCTGGTAGAATTACAGACTCTCCCTGAGCTTTCACCACGCGCCGCATCCTGTCGTCGCTTACGCCAAACGATGCTGCAAGCTCAGGTCCCAACAAGGTGTGGAGAAGCGATGATCCTCCCGCAAGAAACTGAGGCCTGTTCTTCCTCGCCGATGTCGTGAACCCGACGAACTCGAATGGTCCAGATCTGGATGCGATTTGACAGAATGGGAAGTATCTCGGTACGACGAACACATCCCCTTCTCTGACGTGGGCACTCATCGCTGCAGTTCCGTTTGGAAACACCACATGAATCTTTCCGGTTCCGTACAAAATGATGCCGTACTCTGTTGCCCTTGGATTCACATGCGGTGCCATCATGGATCCCTGCCATATTAATGGAGAAGAATTGAAACATTGCCGGAAATTTTGGATTTGGAAAAAAGTAGTAGTCATTTTTTGTAGAGACACAAATTGTGTATACAGCGTAAGTCTCACAAATCGCTCCGAAATCCTAGTCCAAAGGGTCAAAATTGAGTTAGTTTGCTTACGGCAGTGAGATTGACGAGATAAACGCCGATGCCGGAGCGTCTGAGTGGGGAATAACTGGAGCCGTCCAAAGCAACGCTCCAACCGAATCTATTTCTGAAATCGGGTTTGCTGTCGTAGAGGTTGTAAGAGTCGGGAGATTTAGCGAAGTATCTCTTCTCTCTTTCCTTGTTCTCACTTCCAAAGACAAATTTCAAGAGTTTCCTCCATGACCAATCTGTTTGCTCTGCCTCCTCCTTCTTTTCTTCATCATCACCGGATTCTGCTTGCTCGTCCACCATTTTCTTGAGGTGTTCTAGTCTGTCGTGCTCTTTCAGTTGAAGGAACTTCGTCCACAGGCTTGGGGCGTGAGAGTCATCCACACAACACGATTGGCCCCTCGCGTTGCCCTTTGAGGATTTGCCTTAGCTCAAGGCCTGATGTCTGTATGATAAACAAAATCGTTAAGTGTACCGTGCCGACGATGGAAGTTTGCTATTTTTCTTCTCTGCTGCTGCAGAGTTAAACTTGCAGCTTACGTTTAAAGCGGCTCTTAGGACTTCAGGTCCGAACCCAGAAAGAACTGATGGTGGGCAGGCTCCTCCTCCTCCGATGTAGAAAGACTGCGTACAAAACTAGGAAAATCAGTCTTCAAAGGAAATGAAATAATAGCACTACAATGTCAGTTGATTTTGAAAAACGGATGTTTGTAACACAATGCATGTACCTGGAAACGCCCTATTCCCAAGCTCTCAGAGGGGTCAATGCTACAGATAATATGAAGTCTCTGGCCTCGCCCTGTGTTCACCAAGTAGAATACAGAACCAGCTGAGATTCTATACACATCCCCAGTTTTCAAACGCGCTCTCTGCCAGTTTATCTTTGTAGATGAATCCCAACTTTGCCTCCCCTGCAATTAACTGATGTCTCAAGACAAACAGAAAACTGACAACCAGGAACACCAGAGAGAACCAGAGATTGTAATACCTCTGCGAATAAAAGGATCAAGCTAGAGTCGAGGTACTGAGGAATGAACAAGGACTTTGGTTCCATGTTGATGAAGCCAATGTGCATAGGCTTGTCCACAATCCCACCGCCATAGCTTTCCGTAACTTTCATTTCGCCTGCATCAGTCTTGATCACTTGCTTCGAGCGTCGTAAAAAAGAACCAGTCACTTGACTCTGCAGGCAACATCTCCCTTCTCTCTCTTGCTTCTCGCTACTCCCAATCTTCATCTTCAGCGAAACTCGTACCCTTTGCCAATGCATGGCAAAGAACAAGAAGAAAGACCAAAAGGGTAGCTCTGTTTAACATAGTTTCTTCTCTTCTTTCTCTCTCTGTGCGCGG